GCACTATTTATTGAAGAATAACAAATGTCTCCTTATAAACTGTCAATTCTAATATTATTAACTATTTGTTGTTCTGCAATTCATTTATTTAAAAAAAGTAGACTTAGCTTTTGACTGGACTATATAGCTGCTTTAATCTACTGGTCTCTATAACATCGAAGTGTCAACAGAGTAAATAAACTGCAAGGACATACTTTGGTCAACAGAGGGTGCAATGTGGCAACAAAGTTGCCATTCCTCTGGATCGAGATCTATGGAGTCAGTTTCTGTTCTTTACTCAATCTGATGATCCTATTTTATATTAAGAATAACATCCATCCTGAGGAGACTGATGGGATGTCAGATTGCTGTCTGTGGAGACTTATCATGTCAAACATGTGAAAACATTTCTTTTTATATTCTTATATATATATATATATATATATATATATATATATATATATATATATATATATATATATATATATATATATATATATAACATATAGTATTTGTAGAAGGAAAGTATGTGTGTTTTAGTTTTTAGTTTTTTTTTTAAGCAAATTGGAATAGGCCAACTGCCAACCTGCTACATCTTATGTAAGATGAATTTACATTTTTATCTGCAATGAGAGAATGAAACAAGAAGTTTGGTGTGCTGTGGAGCATTAATTAATGACCAATGAAATTTTGGGATTTAGCTCAGTTGTGCAATTAGCGAAAAAGCCACTGCCGAACCCTGCTGAGTGTGGGCAGTTCTCATTTAATCACCAAATAACTGGCAAACACGATCACTGTTCATGATTAAAGATCTGTTGGCTGTGCTTTTTTCCACTAATTAAATCTATCCCACAATATTCTTGGTTGACCCTACTTACTCTGAAAACATCACTTCTAATGGAGGTATAAATTAGACTGATTGTATTGAATATCACACAAAGTCAATAAACACATTCCCAAGAAATGGTCAAGGCAGTCATCAGCATACTATGTCCCACCTGGGTGTCAACAATGAGACTATGAACTTGGCTACTTCCATTCAGCTTCCATGTTTCTAGTCATTCCAAGCAGGGACACAGCTCAGTCAAATGGATATGGACGAGCATAGACCAAAAGTGGGGGAGCTGACGGAAGTAAAGGTGGACGAAGATTTCAATTTCACCCAGAGTGACACAAGACCTCATATTGACGACAGGGATCCAAAAGGAATCAACAGCAATCTAAAGGTTTGTAGTTTCCATTCATGTTTGCACTGCAGTGCTGAAAAAAGTTTTACCTTTTTGGTTTCAAGACATATATGTTCTTTCATGACAATAAAAACACACCTGCCATTTCTCTGGATCTATGGAAACTCCTTTAAAATAAGAATACAAAGGAGAATGAAGAAAAGAAATGTTCACCTTTCTATCACTGACTTTCTGATCCCCAAAGCTTTCCTTAATACATGGTGATGCAAACTATTGTCATACCCTCTTTTGCATTTCAGTCAAAATTTTTAAACTTGTATTGTCTGTAACATAAAGATAATAAATTGTGCATAAGTGTGTAATGAAAAATGATTTTGCTAAACCTAAAATATGTGGCATTTATTTGTATCTAGCCCCTTTAAGTCACTGCTGTTACCCATTAATTTTTGCAAAATACTGTAGCTAAGGTTCAAATCCCAAGTGATAGATCTTTAGATCCGCATTGTTATTAGGTCTTGGTCCCATGAGAATGCTATTTCTTAAACAAACATTTATATAACTGTATCTTTGATTTGTCTGTCTAGAACACACCATAGGGATGGTATGTTCTGTGCCTTTTTAGTACCTATTGTTGCCTTCTGTTTTTTAGACCAAAAAGCTAAACTTTGGTCAATTATTTTATTTTTACGACTTTTCTATAAAGGCCAGATTTTCGGAATGCATGATTGATAGTTGTCTTGTCAACAGATGTCCTGCTCTGATTAGCTCTGCAGCTCCTCCATAATAAACAGCAGCTCCTGTCTTCTTCTCTGATTAATGCTGTCTTTGCCTGTCCTTTTCTGTTAACATGCAAACCATGTATTTTTCAGTTAGTAGTTGTTTCAAAGCCTGTGAGATCCAGCATTGGTTTCAGAGCAGTTTGTTCATAATGAGACTTTGAGGACTATGCATGTTAACAATAGCTGCATAACTGGCTTTAATTTATAACCTCATTAACACTATTTACTATTTAGGTTACTTAGGAAGGTGATTGAGTGCACTTAAAATGTTTAGGGGTGTCAGAGAAAAGGGGGATGAAAAAAAAAACTGAGCCACAAATTTTTACTAGACATTTTTGAGCTACAAACTTTTATTTGTAGAAAATCTTGAAAGCTGTCCAAAAATTTCACATCTTTTGTACAGGGTATTTGTCACCTGACGTTTCAATCACATAAAATAAACCGTTTAGGTACCATATGTGATTACATTATGCGTCACTTTACCTTAAGGATCCTTGATTTTGAAAAAAAATATTCCAGTGATTTTTCCCTGACATACTGTCATGATCTTGGGGCTGATGGCCTGATTACTTATTTGATTCACCTGCCTACTTCCACCCAGTTCTCATTGCCCCTCATCTGATCCACCTGCTTCAACCTCTATTTAACCAGCCTTCAACCAGTCATCAGTTCCAGATTAATCAAGCCTTTGGTGAGAGTTCTCTAGAGTCAACCTGAATGCTTGTGATTGCCTGATCCTGACCCGTTCTGACTCTGGACCTCTGAGCCTGCCTGTTCCTGTTCTCATCTGTTTACCTGACCTGTCCTCGGACTATTGCTGGATTTTGCCTGTGTGCCAAATTCTGTCTTCCTACAACTGCTTGGTTCTGATTTCCTACCTATCTTTCCACCCCTGGGACCCTCTGGGTAGCGTCCACCAAACCAAGTTTGCAGCCGGCTGGCTGGAACCTACCTCATCTTCTGGGCACAGACTAAACTTTAAGACCAGGTTAGTGACTCACATGTTCATTATCATCCCGCCAGATATACGTGGTCACTAACCTGTAGTCTCCCCATGCAGATGTTCCTGATTTAGACACCGACACTGTTCCCAAATATTTCATCTTAAATAAACACTTTGTGAAAACCTAACTCGAAAACTGGGTCCTTTTTTTCTGAGTCTGACACATAACATCTAATGTATTTTTGTCCCCGAGCTTGGTTTGCAACATCCTCATTTATTTCAATTTCATTTTTTTTCTGTCTTCTTGTGCCTTAAGGTCATGTTTGAGGATGTGATTGGTGAACCCCCTTCAGTGCGGAGCTTTGATCGTGTCTGGCTTTGGAGTTATGCTGTATTTGAGGTGTCCAGATTTTGGGGCTACCGCGTCATCTCCCTTTTGCTGGCAGTGCCGGTGTCGCTGGCAGCAGGGCTGCTCTTTGCTGTTCTCAGCTGCATCCACATCTGGTAGGACTGGAGCTTAAATATGGTGCACAGTTACATAAACACTGAAAATTATGAGTAGCACGACATACTGTCAGTGAATAAAGGTCATTTTTTGAGGGCTGCAACAAGGTTCTTTTTAATATTCTGTCTATCTTGAAGAAAATTGTATTAAAGAATAAAGTTTTCTCCTTCCCTTTGTGTCCTTCTAGGCTGATCATGCCCTGTGTGCAGCTCCTACTCATCAATATGCAGTGGATCCAGACTGTATGGAGTAGCATACTGAACATTTTTATCACTCCTTTCTTTAGCAGTTTTGGAAGATGTTGTGGTCAAGTTGTCATCTACCTGGCAAGCAGTGAAAATAGATAGAAGTAATTATTGAAACAAATAACCAGAAGGTATGACGAAAAGACCAATAAAGAATTATTAGCTATTTTTTGACAGGGAACCTGTATCATTTTTATGATTACTTTGTATGCCTCTTATGCTTTGAGGTATGTTGGCACACTTATCAGTGTATTTCATTTTGTAGTGGCACTGATATATGAAGCCTTGAAGTTACTATACAGTAGAAACTCACAAAAGTAGTGAATATGAGTGTGCTAAATACACAAACACAAAATCAAATACCACAAGAAGCACATTTTGCTGAAATTAATAATTTGCTAAATTCTTTACACATAAACTGTAATCTGAGTGCAAATAGAGGTATATAAAGATACAAGGATTTAGCTTTTTGTTAATTTTCTGTGTTGTGTGTTAAATAAGATTATTAAAATGTTTCTTGACAAAAGGCAAATGTGTGTTCAACTGTGATTGTTTCTTGCAGATTTCAGAATTTTAAAACTTAGTTAAAAATTAAAGTTAAAAAAAGTTAGAGTTGGACAGGATGGTTCTCAAAGTGGACCACTAACAAACTTGTCTTATTTTGTAAGTATTGTAGAAATAGGTTATCGGTACCCTTAAAGATAGATTTTCACTCATTTACGAGCTTGAAAGGTTCAGTTCAAAAAGATAAATGGCAGATAATCGAAATAAACCATATAACACAGATTAAATGTACTGTTGTGTTTTACCAAACTTAAGCACTTCTGATTTGCTAAGCAAATTTTCACTCATTTACGAGCTTGAAAGGTTCAGTTTAGGCAACTGGAGGTGAGTTTTTTTTTTTAGAAAACTTTTCGCCTCTCATCCAAGCGGTTTCCTCAGTTCTAACTAGTGGTGGGAAGCACTGAGATTAATATACTGTCGGTGTACCAAAGAATTAGGGGGAACAAGAGGTGGCTTTGATCACAGCCACTGCTAATTAGGACTAAGAAAGCCTCTTGGATGAGAGGCGACATGTCTTCTAGAAAACCTTACATCCATTTGCCTAAACTGAATTTTTCAAGCTTGAACATGACCTGGATGACTGAGAAACTTCACAGATATGCTTATTCATTTACACAAGCAGAGGTTATATCCACTCTGAAACGGTTCCCCCACTGCCCAAAGGCATACAAACACTACTTTCTGAATGGTTCAGTTGTGGGTCATATTTAAAATCTTAAAGCTGACTTGCCCTTTACTTTTGCACTTCAAACACACAAAACATTGAACGTCTCCTTATATATTTATTGAAATGTTAAGTGCAATGTTCCTCAAAGCCTTTGGCGAAATTTAGAAAAAGGAGTGGGTATATGGTTACTCAAAACAATGTGAGTTTTCCTATAAATTAAAACCTGTTTTAACACAAAATATAGTTGGTTAAATATTTTAATAATGAGAATAAAGAGTCAAATCCAACCTGGTCCTATGTTAAAGTCATTGGGCCTTAGGGCCTCAAAAGATCCAGTTTTAACCATAGATGATGGCTCTCACTGTAGCTTCCTTGAACTCTTAACCTCTTAAGGTTGAATTCCTTGAATCTTTAACCTCTTTGTTAGACTTATAGATGTCAAGGAACTTATTTGGGGTATCATGTTTTACTTGAACAGATATGTTAGCGTACTTCAGGTAGTCAGTTTCTCTTTACAGTTCCAACAGTCATCAGGTTGGGATTTTCATTGTTGGTGGGGTTTTTTGTTTGTTTGTTTGTTTTTTGGGTTGAGTATTATAAAAAAAAAATCAGTTTTTGTTTTGACAACATGTCACTCTTAAATGCATTCAGCAGTTGATCTAACAGAGCAGATTGTTCTGATTCTGCAGGTCCTAGTCCATTTTTCCTTATCTGATCTGTACACCGTGCTTAGTTTTTTCATGCACCATCTCTGTGACAGACAATAGTAGATGGGAAAGATGAAACACTGTCCCAATCTACTTATCATTATATTTTACAACATTTGAAGGAAAATTTTACATTTACCAATTGGGAGAACAACTTGTGCTATAGGTTTCATCTGCACACAGTTACACGCATTGAAGCATATAATAACAACACATTGAAGCTAATAATAAATTGTCTCAATGCATTGGCAGGTGTTTTTGGAAGAAGTAGGGGAAATGTCTGCTTGCAAAATAAAAGAAAACACTTTTTGCATGCTTAAACTATAAAATTAACTAAAGCTTTATAAGTGACAATTATTTAGGTGACAATTATTCAAAAGGGTCTCATTCCTTACAACTCATTTCTGTTGAACCAGTGCTAGCTGTTCTAGATTTACTCTGCATTAAAATGACAGTTTACAGATGGGCACAAGATATTCTGTCTCTGTCAAGGAAAAAACTGACACTTTAGCATCTCTAATGTCCTTGATAAAAAATAAGATAAATGGCAGATAATCGAAATAAACCATATAACACAGATTAAATGTACTGTTGTGTTTTACCAAACTTAAGCACTTCTGATTTGCTAAGCACTACTTTGAAATGACTCTGAACGGTTTCCTGGACCAAAAAATCTAATAATTGAACATAATTGATCTCCCAATGTAAAAATTCACCCCTGCATCTTAATCCATCCCCCTGGGGAGCAGTGGGCTGCCACTGTGCGGCACCTCGGGAGCAATCTGGGGTTAGGGGTCTTGCTCAGGAACTGGGTAGTTGCAACCTTCTCAAAGCATAGGCGCACTGCTAACCATTAGGCCACCACTCTCCCTGGATATGGATGTATTCCCTATTTCAAATGTTTGTTTACACTACCACAACTCTAAAAAAAAAAAAAAAAGAAGCATATGGGGGAGTGTTGGCCTAGTGGTTAGAGCTGTGCTCTTGTGCTCTGAGAAGGTAGCAAGTACCTGGTTCGATCACCAGTGCCTCCACTCTGGGTCTCTGAGCAAGACCCTTAATCCCACATTAATCCCTGGGCACCACACAATGGCTGTCCACTGCTCCCAAAGGGCATGCATTAAATGCAGAAGTAAATTTATCCAGTGTGAGATCAATAGAGTTAAATAATTACTATTATTATTGTTTTTATTATTATGACTATTATTATTATTATCATTATTGGAGTTTAAAAAATGATTGAAGAGATTCATTTTATTTGTTAATATTCACTGTTTTTATATGTAAGAAGGGTAGGCTCCTCCCTCATGGAAGAATAGTTTGTCTTTTCTTTGCTCTGTTGTAGATTTGCTGTGATCACAATAAAATCAGGAAACATTCTCGTAGTTTTTCAGAATTAGGTTTTATTTTGTCATTAATGAAATTTTGTGAGATTCCACTATTTACCTCACCCTTTTTTAAAATCTAAAAATACATGGGCAGCAATTTAATGTAGACACATATAAAAAATAGTGTGACATGAAAAAAACAACAACAAAAATTTTGATTTTAAGGGGAAATGTAGTACATACACAAATCCATCAAAGCTATACTCTCAGTTTTCAAAAATATGGTGAAAAGTGTGCCGGAAAAAAATCACACCTTAATGTAAGTCTGGGGCCCTTTTTGACCTATAAGTGATTTGTTATGTTAAAATTTCTCTTAATTTTATTGTCCTTTAGTGCTAAAGAAGGTCAAATTTCAATAACACAGAATGATGATTTTGTTTTTATCTGAAAGATTTAGTTCAAGAAGACTATAAATCATTTATGTTGACTCTCCATCTCCATCAATCCCTTTGTGTGCTGGTTGAGGTTCTGCTCTACTTTGCTTTTTCTGGAAAACACATCACTTTAAAGAAAACAGATATTGGTCTAAAATTTCAACTGACATTTTTCCCCATGTGTTTAAATCAGCCCCTGCATGAGTGATAGTTCTTGATGTGTCACTGTCAAGATGACTGATGATCTGAGCTGTCCAGCTCAAGCTTCAGCCCTGGCTGTTTTATGAATAAAACTTCACCTGATTCAGGGAACGTAGGAGGAAGAGAAAGGTAGCCTATAAATCTTTGTCAATGATAAAAGCTGTTAATGATCACAAGTTTATTTTTTACTTATAAAGGTAATGAGGCATTATGATGTACACAGAAAAAAAATAAAAAATAAAGTATTTGTTATAATTTTTTTCAAAATTGCCATGTTCAGTTTTTGGAGTAGCTTGCAGTTCAAAGCAGTAGATATTAACACATTTGATCTACATGAAAGAGAGTAGGTGAAATAGTAATAATTAAAGATTTTCAATAAAGCTACAACAATTTTTCTGTTTGGGAGATGTATCTTGATATATTTTTTGAAACTAAAAAGCATAGTTTAAAGTTAACAAATATTTTGCTAGGATTAATGGGTAATATTTTTCCTTGACAAATATGCATGCGTACTCATCTGCTTCTATAATTTGCAGAACTACTCATTAGACTTCTGTAGTTACAGGTCTTTTGGGAGTTTGTTGGAATAATTCGTACTCGTTGTCTCCCGCTTTCTCCGGAACCGGGTCGCGGGGGCAGCAGACTAAGCAGAGACTCCCAGACTTCCCTCTCCGCTGACACCTCCTCCAGATATGTTGGGGGAAGCCCTAGGCGCTCCCAGGCCAGGCGAGATACATAGTCTCTCCAGCGTGTCCTGGGTCGTCCCCTGGGCCTTCTCCCAGTGGGATGAGCCTGGAACACCTCCCGAGGGAGGCGTCCAGGGGGCATCCGAAGAAGATGTCCAAGCCACCTCAACTGACTCCTCTCGATGTGGAGGAGAACCGGCTCTACACTGAGCCTCTCCCGAATGACCGAGCTCCTCACCCTATCTCTAAGGGAGAGCCCAGCCACCCTGCGGAGAAAGCTCATTTCAGCCGTTTGTATCTGGGATCTCGTTCTTTCGGTCATGATCCAGATTTCATGACCATAGGTGAGGGTAGGAATGTACAGTAGACCGAACGGTAAATTTAGAGCTTTGCCTTTTCACTCAGCTCTCTCTTCAGCACGACATTATTGCAGCAGCCGCACCGATTCATCTATCGATCTCCCACTCCATTCTTCCCTCACCCGTGAACAGGACGCCAAGATACTTGAACTCCTCCACTTGAGGCAGGGACTCTCCCCCAACCTGAAGGGGACAAGCCACCTTTTTCCGGTCGAGAACCATGGCCTCGGAGGCGCTGATTCTCATCCCGGCCACTTCACACTCGTCTGCGAACCGCCCCAGCGCACGCTGTAGGTCTTGGCAGGAGGGAGCCAGCAGAACTACATCATCCGCAAAAAGCACGGACAAGATCCACTGGTCCTCAAACCAGACCCCCTCCGGTCCTTGGCTGCGCCTAGAAATCCTGTCCATAAAAGTTATGAACAGGACCGGTGACAGAGGGCAGACCTGTCGGAATAATTATGTATAGGATACTTAATGTATGTTCCTATGATGTATAATGTGTGACATATTACTGTCCAGAGAGGTGTTGCACAAGCAGTATAGGTCAACTCTCAGGAAGTATTGCTCAAGCTTAACAAAACCAGCCGTTCTCGGACCATTTGACCGCAAGACATTTAAATGCTCCTGTTCACTGAGGCTGGAAATTGAGTTGTCTATCTTGTTTCCCCTTCCTTTAGTGCAGCACTCAGCTGTGTAACTAGGGAATCCCCTGACTTTAATAAATTGTGAGGAGAAAGCTGAGACTAGCAGGGTGGGTTGGACTTTGCAACTGCATGGTCTCTTGCTACTCTCCTCGCGAGTAAAGAAGAATTTTGACTCTGTGCCTTTCTTTCCTTGTTTTACAGTGTTTTTTATGTGTTTGAACCTGATAGGGTGTAAGCACAATTTGCAGTCATCTGAATACAGATTATGTGAATTACTTGCTTTAAAAGTTCTAGGTTGTCATGAACAAATTATTTTAATTTGTAAAAGGTTTTTGCTTTGGTGGATTCACATTTGAGTCAGCCTAAAAGATCTATAGTTGTGATTAAGTCTTCTTAAGAGCAGTTTTTGAGCCTCTCACTAAAAATTAAAATAAGGTTAGTAATCCATTGATGTATGCATGTTTCGTCTAACCAGGCTGTCAAAATTCTTGGAATAACTTTAGTTAATTTTTCAAAACTTCTGTTTTAGCTTTGGTTTTCAAAGTAGCAGAAACCAAAATACTGTCAGGTGTTATTAAGCTTAAGCAAAAATTTAATTTGGAAGCCTATCAGCCTCACATGGAATACCTGCAAATGTGCCTCACTTCAGCTTCAGCCAATCGACTATGGGCCATGACCCTTCAAAAGCCAATCATTTCTCAAGATGTTCTTTATTAAAACAAAGACCCTGTTTCCTTATTCAGCACATCACACGAGGTTGGAGTTTGTAGGCTTGTAGTCACATTTGATGATTTAAATCTATTGTGCATCTCCGTTCTTTAGGGATCCAGGCCTCTCCCCTTTTAAGTATACCAGCCGGTTCAATCGCAGGCCGTGTGGACCTTTATTTGAATTCCTGTCCTCTTTGTTGTTCCATATGTGGATCACTAAAATAGGATTCCTGGTCAAAACTGCTTTCTTACTAGTCAGAACTATAAACATTGATAGCTTTTCTAAATTACCCTTTTGCCAGCAAAAACTAAATTTCAGGATGCAAAAAATATAACTTTCCTGGTAAAAATAAAGTTTTAGTTACAAAGAAATGTTAACATATTTTAAGTGGCTATTTTGACATTTATTAGCTTGACTAAATATATATGCATATATGTGTTTCTTCCTAGTCAAAACAAACATTTCAGACATCTAAAACAACATAATTCTTATGTAAAATAAACATTTCAGATATTTTAAATGTAAATGACACTATACTTCCAATTCATGTGTATTGGGTTTTTACTTCCAAATATCTAAAATAACTTTCTTCTTATCCAAATTAGACATACAAAAAACTCATGATACGAGTACTTCTTCTCCATCCGCGCATGCGGACTGGAGTTGTGACAGGCATCTGAATCTGAATCTTTCAATTCCATTTAGAGAGCGAGATCATCTGTGGTAGTAGCACTAGACATCTTCCAGGCATGTGAGTAAAACTAGCAGTTCAGCGGACAGGATGAATGAATGGTAGCTGGCGCGCGCGGATGACATCATACACACTCCGCTTTGTTTAAAAAAAATATAAATCTAAAAAATATAACTGCGGATATCTGGGGGATAGTGAAACGCCTACATGTTATGAATGCTGGCGTACCATGAAGAATAAATTATGAACAGTTTAGTTTGTGCCTTCAACTCGTTGCCTATAGGAAGACTCGGAAGACGTTACTTTGATATCACAAAACCGAATATCTTCACAACAGCTCCGAATGACACAAAACTAATATGGGTGAGTAGAACATGATGTAATAACGAAAATCAAGGGGCCAGTGTATAAAAACCTGTGTTTTCCTTTAACCATGCTGTTAGAAATGAACACAGAGACATGCCACTGCCAGTCTGCACAGCTATTCCTGTCTGCCTGCCTCACCGACTCCCTCTCTCTCCACTGCCACGCCAAGAATAGTAGTCTAATTGGCCTGGCACCCAATCACATTAACTCTGATCTCATTCCCCACTGCCTCCTCAGCTCCCAGGCAACTGGGAAGAGGAATGCCATTGCACATTGAGTTGTGCTTCCTGTTCTTCTTTTACACCAACTGATTGGGATAAACAGTAACAAAGAAGTGTAGCGTAGCTGGGAGTTTCTGCCTACACCTTCCATAGGGAGTATCTCTGCACAAGCTTCCTTTCTACTATCTTTATTTGGCAACTTCCATGCATGGGCTTTTTTATGTTGCATGTTGATATGGAATCCAGTGACTGACTGCAACAACTGCAAAGTCTAAATTAGGCTGTCTGGGTTTTATTTAGTAAGATCTTGGATTTTATGATATATCCCTTGCTAAAATCAGAGATTTAAGAAGAAGTTGAGTACCTATGTTATCTGAATCATGTTACTGTTCAAAATATATATTTTCAGTGTATTCAGGATTGAGATTGTATTCAGGAGTTTCTTCAATAGAGAAAACGTTTTCTAACAACTAAAGCGCTTTTTGATTTCAAGAAAGTTTTACTGGTAAGAAGAATCCACTATATCAGAGGAGGAAAGCAAAGGTTGCTTCTGTCTACTTTTTTCCCTTAGTCCTAGTACACAGTCCCTTGTAAGAATAAAAAGTTTAAAGATTATATCTATTATATAGATAAATTAGATATTAATTGAATAGATAAGGTATATTAATTGAACTTTGCTTAAGCCATGTAGGTAAAAGTAGCATGTGAAAAAATTTGCTCTTTTTGTAAACGTGAAATACTATCAAATGACAGAATAAGACTTGCCTTAAACACACTGAGCTCACCTTAAAACATGGCAGTAGCAGCAACACACTGCAGGGTTGCTTCTCTTGTGCAGTGACAATTAAGTTGGTCAGGGCTGATTAAAACATGAAAGAACATAGATGAAGTTTTATAGAGAAAACATATTCTCATGTTAAATCAGGGCCATATAATTAGCTTTTGGAATCTATTGTAGAAGATTTTTAGAGACACCATTCCTCTAATTTTACTTAGATGAGAGATTTTGTGAAAAGGGCTGTCTGTACAGAGATGTGCAAAGCTGTTTGAAAGATTTGCACTTATACTGTACCAGCAGTGAAATGTAATTTGAAAAAAACATTTACTGAAGGGACACAAAAGCACATCAATTCTGCACTGATTTGCTGCTTACAGATCAGACTATGTAATCTTTTAAACTCTGCCTCTAAAAAACTAACATTTTTGTTTTCTGCAAGAAGAAACTGTACGTTTCCAATACAAGTCACCAAATAACCTTTGCACAAATATTCATGGTTTTAGAAGAATGTAGATATATATACCATCATGTCTGGTATCATATGAAAATAGAGAAATTCACTTTTCCAAAAATATATAGCTTGTCTTTATAGTGTATTTTCTGAGTAAGTTATTTCCATGTGTAGTGGAAGGTAATTCATTTCCAATCCCTGGCAACTGCACACCCAGCTATGTAAATAACTAATAATGAGTCATTGTGCATTTTAAATATACAAAGAGTAAAGTCAATACCAATGGATATGTCACATGCTGAAGGAGTCCTACAATCGACTACTTTTATGAGGTGAGAAATACATTTGGCACAGTTTGGGCACATTTGGCTAAATTGTGTCAAAAATGATAGCCCTGCCTTGGATCTTTCCCAATAAAAACTTTGTTGAACAAATGTGTTTTTACCGGTATACCTCTAATTTGCAAAAAACAACAACAAAACAAAAAGAATATCCTGGGTTTATAAAAGGATTTTCGTGGCCTTAAAAAACAACTGTGGCAATGCTCAGAAAAATATATTGTTGTATTTTTTAATCACAAATCAAACATTTTAACTGTTGCAAGAGTGGTTGCACTGTAAAATAAAATTTGCATGAAGACAGTAACTTTGGAGCCATCTTGATGACTTATTGCAGATGTTTATTTTCAGGTGGGAATTGCTTCTAAAAGCCTTAGGGGTTTTTAAAAAACATAAAATATATTTTTATGTTTTGGTTATAATTTTACAAAATCTGGATAAGGTATAAATGTATAAACAGATTTGCCGATCTGAAAATAAGCTTAGAAATATAGATTTCAAACCAGAGGCCAAAGCATTAGCTTGTTTCCCTTTTTCTTGAGTATCATTAGTGCCACTGTGCAAACCCATCCCAGTTAGCCCAACAACTCTGCGTGAAATATGACACTCTGGGTTCTTCTTTAAGGCATTCCTTTTCTGTGGCCATTACATCGTGCATGTGTGTGAGTGTACAGTTTTAGGGTTGTGTTTGCGTGTGAGTGTTTTTTTTTTGAGACAAGTTTGTGTGTACAGGGATGTGTATTTGTGTAAAGTGTGTGCATACAGGGTGGAGACAGGGCCATCATTTCTGCCAGGGCACCCGTAGCAGCTGTCCCTTGGCATGTCAGAGGGGAGCGTCATAGTCTTGCAACAGAAAGAATCAGAACTGAACTGAGAACTGCTGTGTGTAGTTTCAAGAAAGCTTCTTAGCGCTCTTGTCTTTGGCTAGACCTTGGACCTGTAAGCCCAATCATGGCGGATCAGTACCAGTATAACATCAATGAGGAGAAGATTGTGAAGGACAGCCACACCAAGGAGATTGATCTAATCAACAGAGACCCCAAGCAAATCAATGAGGACGTGGTGAAGGTTTGTGCAGAAAGGAGGAAAGAAGCTATCTTTGAAAAAGTTTTAGGGATGAAACCTACCGTCTTTAATTGCATTATTGCAATGAAGATACATTTGCAACAGGTGGCAGGAATGCTAACAGTAGAACAAGGCATTGTATTAGCAGAAAAACTAAAAATAGAACAGGAGCTATTCCTGTTGCTCAAGCAGTGCAAAGATTTATTTTGGGGATGGGCTGGAAGGAGCTTGAAACTGATAGGAGCTGTGGCTCTGATTTTCTCAGACTATTTTTTTTATTTGTTGTTATGGAAATACTATAAAAAAAATGTTTTTGCTGTCAAGATTTCTTTACTTCAGTATTTTTTGTTTCTTTTATCAAATTATGTTTTTAGTGGCATATGAGGTCATATGCCATGGTTATTAAAGTGTTTAGTTACACCCTGTCTTACTTTTGTAAAATTGTAAAAACAGTTTGTATCAATTTTTAGAAAACTGGACTTTGTAGATAAACGCTATGGAGAAAGCTACATTTAAACTGTAGAGTTTAGGAATGTTGTAAAAATTATTGCATGATCATAGACAATAAATATTATATATTTTTAAATAATAGTGCAACCATGTGTAATGGATTATTGATGATCTACCCCTGCAGAGGTGAATATGTAGCAGCTTAAATCTGGTCATTCATTCATTTTGAGTTATTTCTATGGGGACCTACTTATTACTTAACTACTTGCCATACCATTTCTGTGGACTAATTCTGAGAGTAAGAAAAGGCCTCAGATGTGCAGCATATGTCTGCCTGCAGAAGTTTGATTACTGATGATAACTAACAGCAGTTAGATGCAGATCTTTAGCTGGCAGTTTAATGACCTTTTTTTTCTAGAGTGCTAGGTAGTAATACAATCCAAAAACAGGTTCTAACGTTGTAGAGCATTTCTATCATGAATTTTGCATTAGTCTGGATTTGATTTTGCAAAAAAAAAAAAAAAAAAAAAAAAAAGCCAGAAGAAGGCTTTTTGACTTTTCCTGCTTCTTTGAAAGCTATTTTTCTGTTTTTTTTTATTGCAACTGTACATGTAGTGAAAACATAAATTTATCTGCATACATTTGACTATTTTTCTAATTTAAAACCTTACATTTCACATTAATTAGAAGTAGCTTTTTGAGGTCTGGACTTAGCAGGAGTGTAAAAGCTGTGCCCCTAGAATATTTGTGCTAATGGATTAATCTTTAAACTGTCTCAACAGGTGGAGTTTGAGGATGTAATCGCAGAGCCCGATGGCACACACAGCCTGGACGGAGTGTGGAAACTCAGCTATACCACCTTCACTGTCTCCAAATACTGGTGCTACCGCGTGCTGTCAGCTGTCTTTGGCATCCCAGTCGCTTTGCTCTGGGGTTTCCTGTTTGCCTGCATCTCCTTCTGCCACATATGGGCTGTGGTTCCCTGCATCAAGAGCTGCCTGATTGAGTCACAATGCATCAGCCGCATTTACTCACTCTGCATTCAGACCTTCTGTGATCCCTTCTTTGAAGCCCTGGGCAAGATTTTCAGTAGTGTGCGTGTGGCACTGCGCAAAGAAGTCTAAGAACTCCCACTGCAGCTTGAAGTATGATTTGAGAAAGTCTAGTATGTTTTTATACAGCTGATTATACTCCATCCCTGGAATATGGCTTTGCAATCGACTCATCTTTGTCTCATAGTCAGAAGCAGTTTTCACCCCTCCAACATCTGAACCAGAGCAGAGATGCATTTAAGCACTATGAATAAGGCTTTGACAGTTGCAGCAGACAGTATGGTTCTCTGATAGCTCTTGTGCTTTTCTTTGGTTCTAAAAGAACAAAAATCTCCACTATGATGAGGAGAATTTCAGTGATTTCAGCAACTTACACCAAAAAACAGTTTTTTTGTCCCATTTGATTCAAATAGGAGAAGAAATCAAAAAATAAAAACTCAAAAATAAAGTTCAAGTGTTCTATTAGGATTTCCCTGACATTTGTTAATTTGCAACCTTTAACCAAAGCTATAGTTTCCATAAAGGTTATAGATTCTCCAAGGGATCTACAAATTTATTTGCCAGAAGGCAAAAATCCATCAAACAGCAATAACAGCCACAATCAATAACAGGGACATTACTAAATACATGGGTTTCTCCAAAGTTTAAGAACAGATGAGAAAATGGCCAGAAAAGCTGCCAAGAGATAAAAGCAAAACTAAAGGAGCTGCAGACATTTAGTCAATTACAGGTTGTGTTCAACAAGTAATGTAGATATCTTGGAAAACCGATTACATTACAAACAATTGAAAACATTTCACTTTTATTCACAAAACACTGTTTTGGGCATGATATTAACACCAAACAAAGTTGTTGTTATCTGAGATTGAACTGAAGTTTCATTAATATGGATGATGAGATGAAAAGCTCCTTTACAAGAGTACCGATCTCCTTGGTATGGCTGCCTTCACAAAGTCTACAAAAGAATTGAAGAGGCAAAATTTAATGTCATTGTGAAAAGTAAAAGTGAGATAGATGTGAGAAAAAAATCTGTGGAGAAGAGAAATCTGAAGTATTTGGAGAACTTTTAAGAGAATTGGTAAATGTTGAGGAGTCCAAATGTTGCCGGACACGCTAACTTGTTTTATTCAGATTTGTTTCTCTGAACACATTTTTTTATCTTATCTCACTTAAATTAAACAGGACTGTCTAAATAGGTGGAGTTTGAGAATGTAATAAAAGCCAGTTTATCATCTGAGGCCTTTTGTCACAGTGCAGGGCAAACAGCACATTGGTGTAAAAAGCTTTTAAATGATTTAGCTTGACTCAATTATTTCATGTCATAAAACCCTGACCTTTTTACAAAAGCGTGTCCACTTTTGAGGAAGGACTATTTATGCATTTAGCATAAATGGCAACTTATGAACAAATATTACTGTAATGATAGACACTGCTATTTGTGTACATTTAATTGGCCTCTTTTCCAAGGTTTTTGCATTATCTTGTTTCCATTTACATGTATCTAACTAAATACCTCGAGGGAATGAAATTAATTGTATACAGCTGCTACAGGTACTCTATTTTGTGCTTTTAACACTTGGTTGGTTTAATTTTCTATTGTATCACCTCCCTTTCTGATGTAGTCTTGAAAAGCTGATTTGTTTTTATTTTCTCAAAAAACCAAGTTTATCAATCTGATATCTACATCAAGATATAACATTTGATAAAATACCTATTTGCTGGAGAAAAACAAATGTTAAACTTCTTTATGTTCACAGTTATGTGAAGTTCTTTAATTTAATAAACCTAAGAAAAACCATTTACAGTAAAGTTATTTGAAGCCTTCTGCCATCCGGGACCCACTAGAGGATGCTGTTGTGTATTTTCAGTGTGTTCTCTTCTTAGACCATTTCTTCATGGTTCGCTGCCACCACATCCAGCTTTGTTATTCATTCTTGTTATTCACTATGGACACTGTGTACTGGTCTTTTATTTCAATACAAAATCTTCATGTAATAATTTATTCATATGCATTTTGAAAAGGAAAATAAAATCAATGTTCAACACACAACGAGACTGAGAATGAGATGTTGCATGCAGATATTGTTTAAAAAGATTTGAGTTAATGGTACACTAATAACATTAGTTGTAAATTTTTGTTAACATTGGCATTAATTGCCAGTAAGTGAGTCATACCTGAATTATGATATTCTTAGAATTTTTCTTCCTTTAAAATAAAAAGGAAACCTTTTCAAGTGACAAATTGACAATTACTGTAGAAATGTACTTCTTCTTATGCTCGGCTGATCATACTTCACACGTTATTCTATACAAAAAAAATAATACTTTTTAAAATGAGAATCATATAAGTACCCCCTTTGTATAAAATGTATTAATTTTTTTATTACCTAATAACATAAAACACACGCCTTAACCCACAACAGGTCTTTTGGAGTCTCCAGATATGTGATATTTTCCCGCGTTTGGTCCTGTTTTCAGTTCAGGTTGGAAATCCTCATCATCTTAATAAACTTCCATCCTTAACAGTGCTTTAGGCACTGTTTCCCGGCGTGTTTTAGATGTGTTCCTGCTACAACTCACCTTATCTAAATAGCTCCTCAGCTTGTCGCTAGTTCTAAATGAAGCACAATTAATACCAACATCCTCATTGCAATTAAATAGTAGCTTGTTACCTTCCCTTGACAGCTTGTATTTTATGTGTGAATAGAGTTTTTTTTTTTTATTACATTGCAATAATGTAAAAACCCAGATATGGAGACCCGGGTCCCCTGACACAGGGGCCCCGAGTTAAGATCCTGAACTTACTATAGTCCCCAAACAATTAAACTTATATTCAAATAAATTGTTTTGCTTAAAAACCTATTGATTATTTTAGAGCAAAATAGTTACAATAATAAGGCCAGTAATTCATGAAGTTCAGTTTAATGTACGTATGAATTACTGCAAATTTTGCCAAACGGAAAACAAATTCTTTAACATTTTCACAATTAATAATGATAAAAGTTAAAACAGATAAAAGCACACACCATCTTAAATTAGTGTCCATGCAGTGGCACAATAAAACTAATTAAATTCAACTAAAACATAATTGATGGACGTTTGTGAATAAGAATGTTTCTATATGTTTTTTAAAAGATTCCACATATTGAGAATAAATTATATTATATGTCCTTAGTTGTTAAATGAAAGCAGTGTTTTCTAACAGTAAGAATCTCATGCACCACAGTGACTGGCAGGATGTTTTCCAAGTATGGAATTTATTGCTATCTGGCAGCTTTGCTGGTGTGAAGAAAGGTTTCTATTCCATGTGACACTGATTGACCAGGTGTTAATGTATGAAATGGCTGCGGATTCCAATGACTTGACATATGAGGATTGGTATCATCAATAATCCCCTCCTGCATTAGTGTAAAAAAATCTGCTCTAACTTGTGAAAAAAAAGCATAAAAAGAGAACTCACTACTTCAGTTAGCTAGGCAGCAGTACATGAAAAACAAAACAAAAAAACTTAGAATAATATTACTAGTTCCATGGAACAAAATTAATGTGTCTTTCAGAGAAAAAGTAACTGACCGTTTTCTATGAAGAGTAGCTGAGGGAAATAATCTTAACAATTTAGCAATTTCTAAAAACAAACACAAATCAGCATTCATAGAAGAGGGAAGTCCTGAATCCTCCAAATAAATCCTTAAAACTAGTTTTATAACCATTAGAAAGAATATCACTCTTTAGGTGAAAAACGCTGGATACGTATGAGGAAATTAATACATCTCACCACCACTATTGTACCAGAATACTTATGTTTTTTTAAGGCTTTACAAACCTAAAAGGGAGTCTAAAAATGTTGGCTAAAGCATCTTAAAGAATGTAAAGCATTTGGCAGAGTGAATTCTAAAAATGTTTTAGAAAGGTTGGCAGACAGAAAAACCTTCTTAAGGATTTTGATACCTGCCAAATGTAACAAGAAAGAAACTGTTAAATTGTTAGAGTGGCCAATCATCAAATATTCCTGGAAAGTTTTATTATATAAGAAAGTAGTCTCAATATCCTAAGCTGTTCAAATAGATGTTATTCAATTTGCAGTTTTCTAAAAAGTTGGACTCAGTAACATAAATAGAATTTACCTCAGCTATAGTGAGAACTGGACAGATAAGTAAAACCAAGCTGAAATAAGTGGGGAACACTATACAAAAGTGTTTGTTCTTTTATAAAATGGGGAGCATTTATATTCCTTTTCATACTTTCCCTCCTTTTATACCATAGAGTTTCTAGAAAATGCTTTAAACCCCTAAAACACTATTTTGCTGTTACAACTACATCATTTGATGCATTGTCTCCTTGTATTTATGCAGTGGAGAAACACAAAGTAGTACTTTACTTGTAAATGGAAGAAAAATACCTAATATGTTTGTTTTTGTTTGTTTTTTTGTTACACTTTCTTCAACTAAAACTCTGAAATTGTGGTACAAATGTATTCAGGCTTCCTGGGTCAAAGCTGTACCAGCTTTGACTGAGATTTTGCTTTTTTTGTTCATTGCAAAACAACTAAAGCTAACTCAGATAGGATGCAGGCTCTTTTAAAAGCAACTTTGAATCCTTTCCACTAATTCTAATTTTGATATGTATTTAAAATTGAGACCAAGTTTTTACTGTCCCTACTTAAAGGTATAGTGGAGGATTTTCGTGAATTTTTGAAAAGACCCACTCTCTCCACTTAAAAAAAACACACACACACATACACAAGCTTGTAACTGCTCCTGGGAAGGAACGCCTATTAAACACTGCATGCAAAAGCATGCAAGAGCCCATTTCTCCTGGTGCACCCTCTGTTTAAAAATTGCTGTTTGCATCAATCATACAAGCTTACTTTCCAAAAGAGATTTGCAATTTTTCCACTATGTCAGACTCACCACCGGTAAGTCAAAATGGGGACGGGCAAGTAGGTCAGCCTTACAAAGAAATATCACCAGAATGATTAACAATTAGGAGGACCACTTATTTTGATGATTCACAGGGTTAAAGAACATCCTCCACTATACCTTTAGCATAAAATATTCAATGGTATGATCATGCATTACCATGGAGATTGTGCTGTTCATGGAACAACACCCATGAGATGTGTTCAGGGAAATATGTGACGGTAGCTTTCCACCACACATAGCACTAGTCTGTCATGATCTTGGTACTGATGACTGGATTATTAGTTCATCCCTTCCACCTGCTTAGCTCCGCCCAGTTTTCATCTGCCCTCATCTGATCCACCTGTTCCAGCTCCTATTTATGCTGCCTGTTTCCAGCCATCAGTGCCAGATTATTCAAACCGAGTGTGAGAGTTATTTAGTACACCCTGTTGTCTTTTGACTGTTGTTCCTGCCCTTTTTTACTCTGGATTCTTGAATTTTGACTTGTCCCTGTTCTGGTCTGTTTCTGTCCCTTTCTGTGTTTGGACTGCTGTTTGGACTCTGCCTGTTAACAATCTTGAATCTGTTCCCTGCTTGGATTTTCCCTTTGGTTCTTCTGCATCTCTCTGACCTTCTGATCTGGTCATCTGCTTCGTCACCTGCTCTGGATTCTGCCTCTGGACTCTTCTGCTCTGCGTCTGCTGGCTTATGCTCGTCAGTCTGCTCTGCCTCATTCCTGGAACTCTCTGGGTGGCTCCCACCACAAGCTGTGGTTGAAGTCATCCGACTGGCTCCAACTCCTTCCTCAGGACACAAATAGAACTAAGAACCAGGTTAGTGACTGACATGCTCGGTATCGTTCCCCGTCTGAGTATAGTGGTCACTAACCTGAGAATCTATCTCTACAGAGAATCCAGCAAGCCAGTCCGAGCTGACGAACCACTCAATCTTGATAGTCCACAAAGCCTTTTATTTTTAAACAAACCTGTTCTGTCTGCCTGAATTCTGGGTCCTATTTTCTGAGTCATTGACATACTCACATCTATGCAGGACTTAATCAATTCAATTATTTTGCTTAAGTAAAAGTAATAAAGTACAGGTGTTACATTGTACTTATGAAAAAATGTAATATACAGTTTTTGCCTTAGAAAATACAAAAAAGCTTAAAATTTCAACTTAAAAAAAAAACACATCCATGCACATAAAATATGCTAATTTTCCTCTTTTGCTCATCCTGTTGGAAGAACATAAGAAATAACACTGTCTATTTTGGTTCTAAATTAAAATTGCAGACAGGAACACATACTGTAGACAGAACTGAACAAAAGCCCTGCATAAACAGCTGAATATTTTTCAAAGTTCTGGTATTCACAGCATTAAAGTTTAAAATGACATTAAAACCTAAATAGTACTTGAAACATAATCAACATAGACGCTTAGTTACAAGTTGGATTTATACTGGTTATACACAAGAAATAAGATGTCTTCTAAGGTCAGCTGGTTGCATTGGTCTTTATTTTAGGATGAGTAAAGGAGCGGAATACAAACTCAAAGCACACTATTTTTGAAAGCCTTACATCATTGTTCTTATTATTTTACACCATTTTGTTTTCATTTCAGTTTCAGTCCTACAAAAATCACAACAGTTTGTTGGTATATCAGCATGATCATGTGAAATAAGTTAATGTATAGTTATTGTTGCAAGAAACTGTATTCTTAAATTTGACTAAAGAGATTTGAGCACTAAATGAACAACCTGACATTGATGATGACACTGTCCCTGAATGAAATGAAAGATAACAGCATGATCAAAAGGTTTCATTGCACTTAATAGGCTTTATTGTTTTTTAACCCTTTCTCTGATGGTTAGCAATGACAGGCATGGCATACTAAATTTAACAAGAGCTGAAGTAACAGTTAATATGTGAGCAAACACGTGACAAGCTGGACGACAGAATACATATTTTTTAACAGATACATTTATAACCACAAAGACCATCCATTAGCTATGCTGGTGTGAAAAACTGTAACAATTTACAGTGCATGGACATCCGTTGAATACTCATTTTAATCACTTTGTATGCGCAGTTAACACATCCTGTACATTTAGATCAAGTATATACAAAAAAAAAAATAGAAACATTTCCATCTGAACACTCTTTTTAGTCCATGATTATCTGATTTAAGTCTAATGGAGGGGTCATCTGTTTATTACAGTTTTCAGTTTCACAGTAAAATTCTGAATTTATGCTGAAGCAGAAGTACTGTGTGGGCTGTTTTCCCCTTCTAGGCTTTAACAGCAAGTCTTGCCAAGGGAGGCATTTTGAAGAAATCGAACCGCTGGAAAATTAATGGGGAGCAGCATGTAGTGAGAGGCTGAGTGGGCAGCTTTGGAGAGAAGGGGGAAAAAAGAGGCCAGGGGCTTACGTGGTGGATGTCTGAGTGATGCTCCTCTGACTGCTGGTGCTCTTAATGGCAAAGGTCGATGAGTTGCTCTTGTGGCTGGAGTCAAAGTCACGCTCGCAGCGGCATTGGGATGACTTGAGGTAGCGAGTGGAACAACACAGGAAGTTCTGCCTCAGATCGTGGAAGAGATGACCAGCAAAGCACATATAGATCCAGGGGTTACAACAGCTGTTCAGGCTTGCAAGCAGCATGGAGATAATGAAGGGCATGGCTGCATAAAAGGAAACACAGATAAAAGTTACTGCTGTGAGATGGAGAAGGAATCATTTAGCATTAATTTTCCCTGAGTGGGAGAACCTGCAAGTACTGTAAGTTAAGTATTTGCTGGAAATTGTTGACTTTTATCTTATAATAGCTGTATATATGCCCTCATAGCCCCTGAAGTGAGAGGCCTTTTAATCATATAATTAGCAATGATTTTTACTGATGTCCTGTGGGAAATATTTTCCCTAACTCGTTTATGATAGGTAAGTATCACAAGGATGTTATCAACAATAAGCAAATATGCTTATAGCTACTAAGCTTTGCACATTTAAGCACAGGAGGATACAGAAAACATAGATATTACTCTTTTCAGCCTGAATGTTTCACTTTTTCAGTTTGACATCCAAATGGAAATAATGTAATCAGAGTCATTGTTGAGTTCATAAGCAAGAGGTAATTAGCAAATGCCACGGCCCTAATGAGGTGACACATCGTTAGAAAATGGGTACTTATCCTGAATGAGCTCATAGAGCAGGTGTGTCAGGGTTTAGTTTTGGTAAATTAAACAGTGTTTGGTATTTTCTAAAAGAACGGAATCAATTCAAAATCTCTGCTTCATACAGTCACACTCATGTTTACCTGTTGGGTTTCTCAGTGACTCAAGCCACACTCACAACACAAAAATGTGACACAAAATAATTATCGGCTTAAAACTGAAAAGCTCAGAGAATGGGAAATAATCTTCGACTAAAGTAAAATAACACTGACTAGATACATCATGGTCAATTTTATTTGTACGGATGGAAAAGGTGATACAATTCCTTGCCCAGTGATGCAGTGATACATTACAGAGAGCAACTTGAAGTGGCGGCTGGATGACATTTACACTGCTAACTCCACCGTCCACCTGACATTTGGTAAATGAGTTTCCGATCATGTAATTGGTTTGTATCCTGTATTTAACCTCTTCTCAGTGGTTGTTAATCTTTTCTCAGTCTGCCTGTGCCTGGATTTATCTTATTGCTTCAGTCCCATAGATTCATTAGGCAGCTCAGAGTAAATGCCATCTTAGAAGGTATGAAAGTCTTACACACATGATTAAGAGGAGCTGTCCTTTATGGGTCACTCTGTGGACCAAAACATGACTATACTAAGTTAACCTCAGTTAACAGATTTGCAGGTTTCACTATCTATCTTTGGGTTTGAACCTTTGGAATGTAGTGCAAGGCAGATTGTGCAAAAGTGCATCTGAAGCTTATCAGGGTTTTATCATCAAAGGAGATGAGAGTCTGGGCTTGAATTAATTTGACGTTTGTGTGGCTTTGTGGAAAAAAAGACCTTTGCTGAATGGAGGTTTTCACAGGGGAATGATAGATCACACAGCAAATGAAAAGACAGACTAATCAGCCTGGGGGTGGTACATCTGTGTGGCTGTCAGAACTGATTCTGCCCAGTCCGAAAGACTCCTGTTGCACGGTGATGTTAACATTATTAACAGTAACCTCGTTTAGCTGTAAAAACTGAATTATCTTTAATGTTAAACAGAAAAAGGATTTTTTTCCAGGTGTCCTATCACTGCATTCATTACATACCATACAGAGAAGTGGATTGTCTACATGTTTCAGGGCAAATTCAACCAACAAAGGCGTTTGGGTTGTGGCTTATTTCCTTTTCTTGTAAAGAAAAAAGACCTGACCTTTAAACGAAATAAAATACTTTATAGACTGAATGGTGGATATTTTGTCGATTACGGCCCTTAATGAAAATCAATAGCAGGGTCTAAGTCAGCTTCCAATAGGGGCAGTGGCAGGAAGGAGATGCTTTTGTTCAAAACATTTTGTACGTGTATGTGTGTGTCTCAGTCAAGGTTTAACCTTCAGCTGTTTTTGTCCAACACATAATGAAATCTGTCTGGCTGCTAAATGTGAACTCACACACAGTTGATTTCCCTCTAACAAACCTCAGAGAGAATGGGGTATTTTGACATCTTCTGGCATTTTCAGAAATGATGCTGATAAGCCTGATCAGGTGCAAAAAATGGTGAACCTCCTCTCTGTGAAAGGTCCAGGCTCAGTCATATTATCACAGTGTCACAAAGCTGACATTCCATTTGTTGGAGAGGACCTTGGAGAAACAGGCTCTGTCTTGCAAGTAATTTTTCAATTTAGAGTATCTTAGTAATGTATCACATATGATTTCTATAGAAATAATTTAAAGATAATAATTTCATTCATAAAAAGACTTAATAAACCCAACAAATGGCTGGGTTGGCCTATATAACACATATGTATACTCCTCCATTAGTTAAAAACTGCAGTTTTCCCTCCCATTGTTTAATACTATAAGATGTATATTCCAATGTTTTGTTAAATTCCCAAAGCGGTTGGGTGAAGCAGGAGTCCCTTTTTGCCAGGATAACAGTAATCATCTTTATTACATAACTCACAAGGAAATGGGAAGATATAGAGCAAACCAAGTATTATAATAAACCGTATAGATGATAAATAATGAATTCATTCTCATTAAGGGGCAGGCTGAAAATAGGAAACACATGTGCATCTATCTTCAGGTTTTAGTTGCAGTAGGGAACTGATGCAGGAACTGTGATATGATTGGTCTGTCAAATGATGACATGACAGATAACCGCCCACCTGGTGTCAACCTGTCTGTACAACTGAATAAAAAATATTTTTTCTCTGTGATTTAATGTGTTTTAATAGTAATGCATGTAAAAAAATTAAGAAAACAAAAAATTGGTAATTATGTTTCACAGATGATTTTTTTCCTTAAAATTAAGAAAGCAAAAAGTACTACATTTGTTTGGATTCAGTTTCCTTTGGATTACGTTGCAGAACAACCTGTTTTAGAGTCAATGCACAAAAAGCTATCTCTCAGCGTAGCTTTGCATAGCTAGGAGCTAAAATTGTGGCCAGTTGATCTATGTAAAAACAACTCAAGTCTGGTTAGATTGGAAAGAGAATATTAGTGTTTTCCGCCAGACAGCATTTTGTATGTAGACTGAAACATCTAGTTAGGAAAAATATCTCACCACACTCCTTATTCGATGAGTTTGCTGTGTCCTGAATGCTGTGTACTAAATGCAACTTGAGGGAAACTGTGAATGCTTATGGTTTTTCTTAAACATTCACTATCAAATTGTCAATCTTCCTCTGAGACCAGATTCAAGGAGTATACAACATCTGTCCAGTCAGTGTCTGAGCTGTAGATCTCTGCAGCTCTTAAGATTGGTCTTGGTATATAGGTATTTGTAACAATATTTTTTACTTTTAGATGATGGGTTTAACAGTGTTTTTATTTTTCTAGATTTCCAAAGCTTGGGTTATTTTTATAACTTAACCACTCTCCACAAAAACCCTTCCTTTTCTTGGTCTTTATGATGCTGTTTGTTCAAACACAGGCTACAAACGTAGGCTACACAAATAAGATGCCTTTTTTATCATGATGAAATCACACAAAGATTGAGGCTTTGCTATTTGGGTAACTTAGAAAGATGAAATATTAGAGCAAAGGGGGATGAAAACAAATTCCTGCCACACATTTTAGGCTTTTTTAAAAATAGGTTTTTAAAGCATTTTATCATTTGTCTTCCACATTAGAATGGTAGTTTTTTCGCTGCCACTCAAAACCAGATAAAATAAAGTTTGTGTTTCACTGTGAAAAAATTAAATAATTATGGAATGGAATATTTTTCAGAACAATGAATGTTTGGATCTGCAAACACCTCAATAAATTTGAGAAATCTTAGTAAATATGCTCCTCTAAGCCTTAAAGCTCTATGTTTTGCTCCAGGTAGCAGAGTAACATGTAATTTTTTTCTGATTTTTACCTGTAAGAATGTAAAGGTTGAAATGGGACTGGGCTATTTAAAGGTGAAACAACAGTAGGTTTCTTTTTTTTGTGTGTGGGGTCTGTTTCTTCAGGCTAACAATAAATAAATAAAAAGGAAGACATGTAGATGGACATTGAGCAGAGACACAAGGTCAGGCAAGCAGCAGATTGCTCCCCACTGTTAGGCAAAGTGAAGTATATAGGTGGCATGCACCTTGGATTGAAGTTAATCCTAATATCCACACTGACTTAAAGAAAGAAAACCGGTTTACCACTAAACTATTTCATAAACTTGAAGGAATACACCTGGAGCCTCTTGTTACTTTTAAGGGCTTATATTTGCTACAAAGTTCTTTTAAATGGGTGCGGTAAATAATGTAAAAAAATCATATAGATTCAATTAATTTTAGTGACAATTTTCACTGTTTTGTAATGCAAACATTTTCATCTTGGATGGGCTTTATTTACTGAGCTGTCTGCTATATCTCTACCTATAATTAAATCTTTATCAGCACACACAGATGACACTGCTGCTCTCCTTTTGTACATAAACATTGGCACATGTTGGTTCCAAACTGCTGAATCTAAGTCTCCCTGTCATCCAAACTCAGCCTCCTTCTCCGCACTGATTGGCCATACCCTCTAGGAAATGTATTCATCTTTTTATTTTTTATACACACTGAAGCAATTTTGTTTCTCGTCTCTCTGGTCACTGTTCCCTCTAAATATCACAGAGAGGTGTGGCGTCACAACCTCTTTCTGTTTCATCAAGCAGTTTGTCTATACTTGTAATACATCAAACTGTCTGCAAAGTAGAAGAGATTGTCCAAGATTGCAAATAAGGGGTCTCATTGTACAAGAAAATATGTTAAATAAATAGCCCAAGCTTCACTATGATTTTATTTTTTTGTATACAATCATTCATGAGGTGAATGAAGACAAGTTGGTTTTCTGTTGGTTTGCAAAGTTTTAATCCAGACTCATCAAAGTCAACAAAGTAACTGGTTGTGTCTTCAAGCACAGAACATTTCGATTCGTTAATTGGTGAATTGGAAGCTTCATTTTACATGAAATCTGTCTAAGGCAGCATAAAATATTAAATCTAAAAACATTTAGAAATAATCTTCAACTTTTTTCTCATTATTACTAAATTATAGTCTTTTTATAGTCTAATTATAGATTTTTTAAAATTTTTTTCATGAAATTCAAATTTATTTTCAAATATTTAATAATCAATTTTAGAATAAAAAACTAATTCAAAACAAATTCTGCAACCTATAAGAATTGCTGTTGAGCTCCTCCTAGCGGCCTGGTGGAGCCTAAACAGCAGTTCAACCTTGGGATTTTTTGGGGACTTCTGATTTAAAGAGGTGCAAACAAATCTTCATGCAAATGTTTCAGAAGATATATTCAAATCTTTTTACTTCAGCATCACTGTTTTTTTTTTTTTTTTGATACAAGCATTGCAGGGCACAATGTCATATGGAAGCTACAAAACATTTAGAAATCAAGAAATTTCTAAATGTCGAAATAGAAATTATTTTGTTCTTTGTTCTTATTACATCTCTTTGCAGGGGATGAAGCAGACTGAAAATGTTTTATCGTTATCTCCTTTCTTTTACCTCTTCTCCTTTTTTCTGGTTTTCCTTTCCTGTTCTACTTATATTGCAATGTCCATAAAATCTGTAAAACTCCCTGCATAATTATAAAATATCAATTCATATGCATAAAACAACCGAAACACTATGGCGATAGCCGTACTGCTCCACTTCTGAAAGCAAAATCTGTTGGGCTCTTTTTGCCATCAAGACAATTATTCTTATTGCCACATTGCTAAACTGTAAAAAAAAAAAAAAAAAAAAAAAAAAAGTAAAAAAAAAAAGAAAAAAATTGCAATTATTTAGAAAAAGTATAAGCATGAAAGAGAATTTGTTGGAAAAGTTTTTATCTTATCGCAGTTCTGCATGCAATGTAATGGCTATGTTTGCATATAAAAGTTAAGCTTGTATTAGCATATGTTTCTTCACGTTTATGTTTTACACCTTACCATAAAATATTGCTTAATTCTGGTGATATGTTGTTTTAAATTTCATTTACTACCACACCTCTGCAAAAAGAGGAAAAGGCAAAGCCAAGACATAAAGGTAAATATATAATGATTTGAAAGGTGTGGTCACTGACAGTGGATGCATGGGCCCCTGTAGGAGCCTGTGTATTGTAGTTAAATGTCAAAGTACCCCCACAGGCACAGGCTTCCTGATGTGCAGTGGTGCACACTAATTTGATTAATGATTATTCATCAATGGGTGTCTGCAGTTCAGGGAGTGTCTGAGGGAGGTTCTGTGCTTGGAAAAAAACACCAATTATTATTTTTGTTTAATCATGTGCAAATGTTTTAGTTATAGTGTGTTAATTAGAAATAACATGTATTAAAAACGAGACATTTTTTTTAGCACAGGACCAAAAATTTCCCCTGAGTCAAAACAGCAAAATCTGGTAAATATATGTTTAAATATACCAAACAAATATTTAGTTATTTAAACATTTTATAATTAATGCCTATTATGACATTTGGCAATTTAAAATCAATTATTTAAACTCAAGTGATTTTTATGTTAAGGTCTGTGATATAATTGGACTTTATGAGTCATTTAGTTGATCCAGTCATGAACCTTTTGGTTAACCTGCAGTGCATTTCAAATCCAGACCAGACTCATCTCCTGACTTTGAAGAATAAGGCTGTAACAATGTAAAATGATTTAATTAAACAAAACATACATGATTGTTTATAAATTAAAAAAGAAATTACCATAAATGTCAATTATATTTTTCAGATTTTGTTATTTCAATATGTACTTAAATAGATAGTTAAAACGTTTGCATGACATTAAATGGGCCCATCTTATATATATAAAAAAGAACACTTATAAATAGATTGAATTGTGCCACTTTTATTATACGTTGTGTATCTGACTGACTTTGTCTTTAAGCTGTGGCAATTGTCTCTCTGGTAAGCGCGCTTAAACTGGAAAAACCCAGAACATCCCTTTAAACATGGGAGTTCAGAGTAAAAAAAAAAAAAGGAGCAGAACTCCACTGCATAATTTTTGAGGAATAAAATGTGGGGACTCGTACTTTATAGCTACTTCTTGGAAATCGGAAATCAGAAAAAAGACAAACAATAAAATGTGCATTCTTTTAAGATTTCACAAAATGAAGATAAATCTTACTGTGTGGCAATTTCAAAGTATGGTATCCCAAATGCGTAATGCACCATGCATGGCGCGCTATCCACCTACTTTGCGCACAGCGGGCATTCATTAGACCTACCCTCACGAGGCGCAGCTGGATCCCACGCAGACCACATCTGGACTGAGAAAAAGGGGGTCCAGCACACGATGTATGCCACCACAATCACAAAAGTCATTTTCACGGTGGTAATTTTGGCTTTGGAGATGAGCCTTACGCTGCTCACCCTGGCCAGCGTGTTGCTTTTGCAGGTTTTGGGCGTTAGGCTGATGCATTGCTCCCGTCTTGTTTTTAACTTAAAGTTTTGCCATATTTTAAAGCTAATTAACCCGTAACAAATGCTGAGTATGGCCACCGGGATGATGTAGATGGAGAGGCTGATCCATGTAATGTATGCTTTGGCTCCCCAGGGTTTCACAAAGTCGCCCCAGCAGTCATACACTCCTGAGCCGACTTCTCTGAGGGAAAAGATGAAAATCTGCGGGATGCTGAAGAGCAGGCTAAGGAGCCAGGAAAATATCACATAAAAACGGTCTTTTCTTCTGTGTAGTGAGCGGAGAGGCTGACATATGGCCAAACAGCGATCTACAGACATCAGAACTAACATATAAGTGGAGGCAAACATCCCGACGACCTGCAGGTATTTCACCAACCTACACAAAATGTCGGGTCCGTAGAAGCGAAATGTTATGTCCCAGATAAGTTGAGGAAGGACCTGAAATATAGCAACGACCAGATCGGCGATGCTCAGGTGCTTCATGAAGTAATACATGCGGGACTGGCTGTGTTTGGTGGTGTGGATGGCCAGCAGGACGCACAGGTTTCCTGCGAGCGCCAGGAAGAGCACCAGGGCGAGCACGGTCACCTCCACTTTGGCCACCTCCTCATTCCGTTTCAGGGGGTTCGTTTGATTGAACCCAGCGGTCCCATTAAAAAAGCTCGAGTTCTTCCAAGAGTCGTTCAGTTGCCAGATGTCACTTTCATTAGAAATCGTTTCCATTGCCGTAGTGCAGTCCTCTCTGCAGATGCGAGAGGGCTGTGAGGTCTAATGGTTTGGTTACCTGGAGAGGATAGGGAGCCCAAGTCCTCCTTGTTTCAGGTGATCAGGCATTTTTGGGGACAGTTCATAATTCCCACTTGGTAAAAATAATTTACGTTGTGTCGGACGTCATCCGTTGGTCTGTAAAAAGAGAGGATGTAGGATAAAATAATATATGCGTTATTCTCAAAACAGAAACAACAGAGGCACTTTTTTAAAAGAATGGGTGAAATGATCGAAACAAGGCTGTGAATCTGCAAAAAACATCATTAAGTTTTTTTTGTGTGTTTTTTTTTTACATCTCACCTGCAGTGTGATCCAAAATTACAAAACGCACAAAAGATCTGAAATGTATCTTCTCAAAATGACAATCTGTGGAGTTCTGCTCCCTAAGTCTAAATTGAAAAAATAAAACTAGAAATGGAAAACAATTGTAGCTCTAACATATCTGCTGAGAAGCTTCACAATGGGCAGCAAGACAGTGCATGAGCCCCTATATAGGGTCCTCAGTTCGTCAGGAGCAATAAAAATCTCTCCGCCACCACTTGGTGGATATGCGCACTTTCACCAATTGGCGATGCTGCAGGAATCACCCTGAGGGAGAGAAGTCCAAAGCTATTTATTATTGTCAATCTCTAACAATGTATACAGATGCAAATACATAAAAAAAAA